GCCCATATATTAAAACTAAACTTTAATGTAATTGTGACAAAAAAAATAAAGCCCATATATTAAAACTAAACTTTAATGTAATTGTGACAAAAATAATAAAGCCCATATATTAAAACTAAACTTTAATGTAATTGTGACAAAAAAAATCAAGAAATTAAAAGCAGTGTTAAGGAATTCGCAGTTAGAACTTTTATAAAATAAAAGGAGAACCATTTTCATAAAAAAAAAAAAGAAAAAAAGAAAGAAAAAAAGAATAAGGTTTTTTCAAAGCTTCAAAACTTACTTTGAATACAGTTTTTGATGCGCGCTCACAAGTGTTTCTTATTTTATAATGGAAACAAGATAACTTATATAATAAAATAATTTGAAACCTTAAATATACTTTCAATGAATGGTAATATAAACAGAGACGATAGTCACAAGCCGAATACATCATAAGCATTTACAGTTTTCTTTCAATTTATAAATTATTTACTGAAAAAGTAAGAATAAACGCAGTAAAATGACTATATACACGATGCTTCCTCAAATTGGTGTTCCCTTGAAAGTGAATATTTTATATCTTGACTAAATATCTTTAAAAATTTTTTCAGATGATTAATCAAATATATCTACAGATTTATGTCAGTTATAAGATTCATAGATGAAAAAAGTTTAAATTTAAAAAATGTTGTTTTTTTTCATTTGTTTTAAATTATGTTAAATATTTTTTTATTTAACAACCGTCTTCTACACAAGCTAAGTACAAATAGGATCATAAATGAATAAATTGTTCTAGTAAATAAAAAACTGCAGTTTTTGCAACACGCTTTCATTGGTGATCAAAATTTTGAATCAGTAGAAGTAATTAGTTGAGTGTTTTAAAGATCTGTACTCAGTTCTTCTTTATTGTATTTCAAAGCAATCTGTCAATTTACACCAATATAAATGCTCTCTCAAGAAATTCCGTTTAGCACAAGTTGATAACAAGATTTGTAATTTATTAAACCAAGGGCGTATTAATAGATGGACGTTTAACGGATTGTTATAAGTCAAAGGCGCTGCTAATTACTGAAATTCTATGCGGGTTGGAATTCTTAGCGTCATTTTTTAAAATAATTTTAAAAAACAAACCTACTTTTGATTTGCTAACTTCTTTCAGTAAATGATTTATTACTCGTAAAATACTAACTTTTACGAAATATAAATGCATTTAATGTAATGAAAAATGTCTCTTTTGAAAACATTTTGATTAAAATGCAAGTTTTGTTTAATAATAACTTGTTTCTAATAAAATTTTGACTAAATTAAAAAAAAATTTTCTGTGGACTTTTTTAAAAATCGATTAGGATAAACCAATATGTTTATTGCTTTTTCATTTTCAAAATAAATCGAAATTATTTTTGAAACATTTTCCAAAGCACAAATAATTGCATTCTAAGCAAAATTTAATAAAAATGACCATGGTATCAAAAAATAAATGGCATTTAGCTTGTGCTCAGTATCCAGAGCTGGTATCAAAAAAAGTTTGAAAAAACTTGTGGATATCTTAAAACATGTTTAAAAAAATCTACTTTATACGTTCATTTATTACCATTAAAAAAATGGTAAAACGATAAAAAAAAAAGTACATAGCTCTTATGATCATGAAATGGTTGACAAAAGAGGTATCAACCAGATAAACAATTGTTGAGCATTCTGCTAACAAGCATCTAATACTTAAATATCTAAAGCAATTAAATACAGGCCAAGCTCTCAAAATAAATGTGATAGTTTTAAGTTGTTATTTGCACTATCTAAAAGGATACTTAAATCAAAAGCCAACAAACCAAAGAAACCAGTTCTTTGGTTTGTTGGCTTCTAAAACTACATATTAGTGGAATAAATAAGGTTGGTCACAAAATATCCCTAACCAAAATACTTAACGTTTGACTCATTGCATAATTACATTTTATCTCAGGTTAATGATGGCTCTAATGGATCTGGTTCATTATTATAGATGTAATTGTATTTTTGAAAAAGATGATCTCTCACTTCATTCCATCATCATTATCATCAAAATCACTTTTTCTTTACCTAGAAAAGTTTCTTTCACCACAACTTAGGATCCTCACCTGCCCCAATATAGAATTAGTTTAGTATCATGAAAAGGAAAGCCAATTGAACTTTGCCTATTCGTCACAATAGTAACGCTTATGAATCTATAAAACTTCAGTTCTCATAAATTTTTCTGCAAAAATCAATGGCTTTTAAAATAAATAAAAACTTTTATTATAAAAAGTAACAAAATTATTAGTAAAAACATAACTTTGTGTTAAGATTTAATATTTAAATAAAAATTAACAAACCCTGATATATATAAATTGTCTTTTTTTAACATTCTATTTTTGTAGGTTATGAATTGCTATTAGGTACAACTTGCATACCATTCTTCCACTAAAACTAGAGCTGCCTAGAAAATTCTCACTTAGCAAAATGAAATATCAGAGTAACCTATGTCTTACGGGCTACTTCCAAATGTCTAAATAAAGACTATGATCAACAGAAACAGCTAAGTTGATCAGCTGCTTCTGGTCTCTCTGTTTAAATATATTTTTAAGGTTAAGTTCAATTTTTAAATGTGCATAAAACAAAAAGGGTAACTGAAAATGTCTAATTTTTTATAGTTTTTTTTATCATGCATACAAAGATTATAGTATTATAGAAATAAAGTTCTTTAAGAATGTTTAGTTGTGAAGTTTTTAATTTTGATGGATAGCAAATTTTTTTAAATCTTAATATTTAAAAGTCTTAGCAACGTTTCTTTAAAAACTCATCCCGTAGTCATAATAATTTAGTAAGATATTAACGATTTTACTAAAACTATTGAAACGTACAACGAAGAAAAGCAAGATTTTGTTGGTTACATTATAGCTAAATTCACCCATTGTACAATTAACTAATTAATATCGGATCCAAACCCTCCGCAAAACAGTAACACTTTTCTGATCACTATCTAGATCGTCATAAATCTAATGTTTTGTAATACTGGCTGCATATTCCCCTAAATATTTTTTTCTATTTCTGCATAGATCTCTTTATGGCATAAATATTTATAACTATATGAATATAAAAATAAATGTAAAATATAAGGTTTCATAAAATAGTTTGCATTGGAGCATATCCAGACATTTGAGAAAAAAACCTTTCTTATAGTGTTAAATACACCTTTCTTAGTTTATAACCTAGCCAGGCTACCTAAAAGCATACAACAAACCCGGTAAATAAAAACACAATGTAAACAAATCTCGTCTTTCCTAAATTTTACAACAGATTAAAATGATTTCGTAATATCATTTAAGGATATTAAGAAGGAAAAATAGTTCTAGTATAAACTGTTCTTGAGACGAATCACAATGATTTTGTAACCTAGAAAAATAAGCATAAAATAAGAGTAAAATAAAGAAAAGATGGTAAAGGCCTCATGCCATATGGCCTGAATATTGAATACAATTTTTATTTTTGTATCCTTTTCCAATCGAAAAGCATGAAAAATAATCTCAATATCGAAAGTTTCCATAAATAACTATCATACTATAATTACTTTTTTAAAAAGAAAGAAAAAACATTCATTTTTCCCCTGTTATTTTTACCAAAGTTATCATGCCTAAAGTGTAAGTAAACTGAGACAATGTGTTCATTTAAATTTAGTGCATGCAAATCAAGAAAATAATTGCAAAGATTAAATAATTTAAAACCCTTTCGAACCTCGCTGAAATTCTTAAACTTTTTAGATTCTTACCCAAATCCTTAAGCAACAAGATAGTCATTTGGCGCATTCTACTTTGTTGATTGAGTTTTCGGATAAAAACGATTAAAATAGGCTCATTCGTTTTTTCAATCCTAGTCCTAATAAACATTTTTTCTTAAGTTTGTGAAAAAAGACCTAAACTTACTTTAAATTCTGTGGACACATTTTCCCTGTTAAAACAATATTTCAAAACAAGTTCTTTAGCCCAAAAAAGTTCAAACGAGTTATTTACAGCACTGTAATGCTCTAAGAAATCTTTTTACAAGCTTAAATAAAAAACTTTATACAAAATAGTCAAAAGTTATTGGGAAAACGAAAAATAGTCAAAAGTTATTGGGTAAATGAAAAAGAGTCAAAAGTTATTGGATAAATGAAAAATTAACAAATAAAGAAAAAATAAAACAATAAAATATTACTTTTAACCCATATTCAACTTTTTAGAACAAAGTGTAGCAAAATTTCAAAATTATAAAAATAATAAAAATCTAAGATTTTCAACTAAATTTTTGTGAAAACAAGAACAATGTCGGTGAGGTTAGATGCACTATAATCAAAGTAAAAAATAACCTAAAATAAATAACAGATGAACAAATATAAATTGTTAGATGTTAATCAATAGGTGTAATTAAATATTAAACACCTTCTGCAAACACCTTCTGTATAAAAAACACCCTCTCTATATGATTTTCCCTGAGTGTCTTGTGACTTTCAAGAAGAAAAGTGAAGTACAAATCATAAATGTAATCAAATAGAAAACAGGAAAGACATATTTTATACTTGCAGACAATATTGCACAACCGTATTGTACAATATGCAATATTGCATGATATTGTATAAAGTATAACAGCTAAAGAACAAAGAAAGTTAATCTCAAAATAAAAGTAGAAAAAAGAATTTAATTAATATAAAATCAGGAAAAACCATGGCAGAAAACAAAGGACCAAAATAATAAACGTTAGGATCAAAAATAAATAAATAGTGTTAAAAACATGAAATGTTATAATTATAACAAGATTTTATATATTTTTCAATAAATTAAATAATATACTGAGTGAAATAACTGTAAAATACAAAAGGGAAATTACAGTTTTCAATTTCTACTTTAGATTTTACATAATTTTGTTATTAAAAAGATAACTGGCCAGAATAAAGCATTTGGATAACTGAGAAAAACTGTGAAAAAAAAAAAAAATGTTTTTAAAAGAAAACTAGAACACAAAAATTATTTTACCTTGATGTGGAGCATGTTTTCTTTTATTGCAACAAGAAACAAAGGATGCATATACGCGGCTTCCTATTTCAAACAAAAACTATTAAAGTTTAAACAATAATTTAGTTATTCAATTTTAATAACTTTTTATGAGAACTAAGAAGTCCAAAGATATTAAGATAAAAACGACTTTTAGAATACTGTGACACTGTTTAAAGGCCATTCATAAATTACCTTTTTTCTTATCCATTTCAGGAACCAATGGGAAAATGCATTTAAATCTGTCAGAATAGTTGTTCGATGTAATTCCAGGAGTGCAGTTATTATTATTTTGACTTGTTAAACACCTAGAAATATGAAAACATATAAAAATAACAATTTATACTAAATTATTGTTATCAAAGGCAAACAAAAACAAACTGAAAAAAGTTATTTAAAAAAAGTCTCACAAGTCATTTTATTGATTCTTGTTCTTTTTTTTGAACCCTGTTATTTTTTTTGAATTTTGTTATTCATAATTATTTTCTTAATTTATGCTTGAAGGCTAGCAATAATTTTCTTTTAAAAATATGTAACTTTCTTTCTTTAAATTTTTTTTTTTGTAAATAGATGTATAAAATTTCGTACGATGAATCACATTTGAAACCTTATTAAATATTTAAATAAAAACAGAGGTAAGTCAAAAAGTCATTCAGGATCGATTTTGAAAAAAGTCTGCTGCACAATTGGGGCTCATCTGTGTGATGATGTGATACCGAAGATGTGTAAACACACCAGCTCAGCTTCTTGGCAGATCAATAATATTTGTGGTACTACAATCCTACACAGAATTGTGAAAAAAAACCTCATTATACAGCGGAGAAAATAGAATTAGCCTTTATTTTTTGTTTTAATTTAACAAAAATGGTAGTGAAGTAATTATTAAATCTACTTTATTTCTTATAATCTTCTGCTAGAACTAAAAAGTTTATAAATTGATGTTTAATTAATTACAAATGGAAAAAAAATTAAAAGTATTCAATTTTTGGAGAAAATAGAATTAGTCTCATTTACGTTATATACAAGAAAATACAGAAAATACTTAGTTTTTACGCTCATTTAGTATTACTTCCTAAATTTTTCATGACTTCAAATATGCCACTTGACATACTAGTCACAAGATTTTGGATAGTTTCTATAGATATTTTATTCCAAGGTTCTCTGATACGAGTTTTGAGCTCCAAGGTGGATTCAAATTGCTTACCATTTTCATAAACCTTTCTAGAAAATATTCCCCATAGATTTTCAATTGGGTTAAGATCTGGACTATATGCAGGCCATTCAATTACGTGAATATTTTTTTCTCTAAACCAAGCTTTTGTAAATTTTGAATTATGGATAGCATATCTTGTTGAAAAGTGAAACTTTCACCCATCAATTCCTCACCATGTTCAGGCAAACTTATTTCTAATAAGCCAATGTCGTCCTGTGAATTCATTTTTGTTGAAATATATGCCAGCGGAAGTTTTCCAGCAAAAGAAAAAGCCCCCCAAACCATAACAGTTCCACCACCAAAGTTACGACTCATCCGAGTTTCTTTCCCTTTTCAAAGATCATGCCAGTAATATTGATAGCCATCAAGACCATCTAGACTGAACTTTTTTTCATCACTAAAGAGAACTTGATGCCACTCTTCTTGCCAAGACATGTGTTCTTTTGCAAATTGTTATCTAACTTCTTTATGACAAGCAGTAAGTTTTGGTTTTGGTTTACGCTTTTTCCAAACTGTGTTATGATTTTCATGTAAGATTTGTTTCACACGTTGAACAGATACAGGTAATTGTAATTCAGCACAAATTTGAGATGCAGTCATGTGCTGAGCAACAGCATGACATACAATAACTCTTTTAGTACGATTATCAATTTTACATTTGCCACCTTTTCCCTTATAAGCTCCATAATTAACGCCAATCTTGAAGTAATTAAAAACCATTTTTGAAGATCTTTTAATTTTCTTTGCAATTTTCTGATTAGATAAGCCTGTATGTTTGTATGCTTTGATTACTCCTAATTCTTCATTGGTTAAACGCTTACCACATCCCATTTCAAATTTCAAAAGGTATCAAAAACCAAATGTTAAAAACTTTATGAGCACTGATTTTGCAGTCTTTGTTTAACTTACAAATAATAATAGAAAACTAAGTCACAAATGCTTATCACCAGATCAAAATATACAAGTAAACTGAAAATAATTGTTGATGAGGCTAATTCTAATTTTGTTACCCCAAATATCAAGTATTATACATTTTATGGTTTTTTCAAATGTACCGCAATTTAATTATGCTATATGTTATTGTTTGTAACAGTAATTATATGTGTGTGGATAAAAAAGATGCACTGCACAAACTTGCTTACAGACTTATAAAATATTGGATCAACACATGGTGAGGCTAATTCTATTTTCTCCACTGTATAAAAAAGTACCAACGGTACGAGCACTCACATAACGACACACCTTTGGAATCACATCATCACGCTGATGAGCCTTAAAGGGCAAAACCCAACCGTGATTGTGATACGCACTGACTTAGTTAGACAATGATACACTGTACTTTATATATATATGTATGTATATATATATATATATATATATATATATATATATATATATATATATATATATATATATATATATATATATATATATATATATATTCAGTAGCATCCAAAAGTAATTGGCTAAACAGCCTTTTTGTTATATTTTCTCATTGAGTTTACTTCTTAAAAAGAAATTTTTTATAAGTATGTCAAATTATATTACAATTATGAAAAACAAAACAAAAATTCAAATTTGGAAGTGATTACTCAAAATGTTATTAAAAGAATGCAAATGATTGGCTCAAAAGTAATGGGAATAACTAAATATGTCCTTTGAAAACAATATTGACACTACAAATGATAAATCTTTTTTTTATGATATAACTATGATAAAACTTTTTTTTATGATAATTTCTGTTATATAATATGTTTAATGTTACATGTTACATTCTGTTACATATTGTTTATAATCTGTACATAATGGTAGTACTTGGTTCGAAAACTTTTTTCGGCAATAACAGCATTGCGTCTATGTGGCATTGAATCAGCCAAACTAATTAAAACATCAATTGGTATTTCCTCCCAAGTACGGTTAATCAACTCAAATAATTTTGATTAGTTGGTTTGCGACCATCAATAATTCTCTTAATGTGCTCACAATTATGTTCTTTTGGGTTCAGGTCTGAAGATTGTGCTTGCTATTTCAAGACTCAAACTCTCTTTTGTGCAAAAACTTCATTGAATAGCTTGGATGTGAGCTTCAGATTGTTGTCATGTTAGAAAGTCCAACCACGCAACATTTTGTTCTTTGCAGGTGGCAGCATTACGTTATTGATTATTCCTCTATACATGTTTTTGTCCATAAGGTCTTGAACTTGATAGATTGGACCTACTCCATCATGGCTAAAACATGACCTAAACCATTACTAAGCCACCACCATGCTTCACTGTGGGAACTAGGTACTTAACATCATTGTTAAGTAATCATGGTGACTTATTGGACATCGAACATATTTAATACCATCAGAGCTAAACATATTAAACTTTGACTCCTCACTTCATAGCATTTTTGACCATTGCTGTGCTGTCCAATTTATATGTTCTGTAGCAAATTTCAGTCATGCTCTACAATATTTTGAAGAAAAAAACGGAACAGCGACCAAAAAGGTTGTTTTGTCTTAAGCAATATTTTACTGTTTCATAAGAACAGGTTATTTGATGCAACTGTGTAAACTTAATTTTTACATGCAGATCTGCCTCTGACGATCTCATTATATCATTACCTTTGCAAAAAGTTGTTGATTTCAGCCTTCTGAAATCAACCTTAAAAAACTTTCAATGTATAGCCAACTGTTGATCGTGGAACACTCATTTCTTTTAAAATTTATAGCACAGTCTTATCATTATTAGAAGCTTGCACAATTAACCTTTTCACAGCCTCAGTTTAATATTTATTATATCTCATTACGAATTATATTAATTGGTTAGCCAATTCATTACTATAATATGGCTTCATCCAGTTTGAGATCTGACCCAGAGCACTGGCTAATTGGAAAACCAATTTCTCAGTTATCTACAACAAGATTACCATGTATGCTGGATGTACTTCAACTGTTCCATTTTTATTATTTAACTGAAGGACGAACCTTTCCGGAAAGTTATAAAATGTCTTGTGACGCAGTTAATTGTATATGGATGCGAGCCAGGATAGCAACACAGCGTATTGATTCATGTATCAGAAAACTGTCAAAGCTGCATCAGAGATAGGTGAAAATGAGATATAAAGAACCCATGACCAAGGGCATTAATGAAACAGAAGGTGAACTTTCGTTGCTGACATCTAGTTCGGAGTCAGAAGAAGATGAGGAGTATCAGCCAACTGAAACTCAGCCATGTACGTCTGCAACGTCAAAATTAACAGATTCAACAGCTTGTTCTTCACCTACAATTTCAATTTCGAGACTGAAAGATATTCTTAAATTTCTTTTGTGATGATAAATCATCACAAAAGAAATTTAAGAATATCTTTCAGTCTCGAAATTGAAATTGTAGGTGCTTTGGATCGTGTTTGCCTCCCAGACCTTAGTGATATCCTATATACTAAGGTATTTGCCTATACCTTAGTATATAGGATATCAACATCATGTATTGGATTTAGTCCTAAAGCATTCAGTTAACTAATTATTCGGCGTTTACGGGGACATGTTTTTTTTGTTCCGGTAACGATTGTTTTTTTTACTTTTTTCCTACTATTTTTATCATATTTATCATAATTTTTAAAATTTTTACTTTATTTCTATTTTTACTTATACATATTTAAATTTATTATTTTATTATAAAAATCTATTTTTTATATTTATTTTTGTTATTTGTATTTATTTATTATATATTATATTTCTTTTTTTTATTCATCTATTTACAAAAACAAACTACAGTAATATAACCATATTTAAACCTTGCCATAAACCCTCAGTTGATGTAGCAGCACTCCCTCGCCAGTCAGGCTATTTGATAGTCGATGTATGTACTTTTCCATCTCTATAAAAGTTGCTTACGGGGACATTTTTTTTACAAAAAAAACGATGCTTACAGGGACAAAAAATTAACGGGTACGCTTAAACGTCTTCGATAATTCTAATGTCCCCGTAAGTATTTGTTTTTTGTAAAATCTGTCCTCATAAGTGATACTATAGGTGTGTGTACAAAAATTTCGCGATAGGTGTGTGTACAAAAATTTCGCGGCAAAAAATATGATATACAGTGAAAAACATTTTTGGCGGGAAAATGCAACACAGTTCAACAAGTTAATCCATAAAAAATGCCGTTTTTCACTAATTTAGTTGTAAAAAATGGCACGATTTGACAGCATGCAAAATGAAAATGCAAGAAAACTTGTTTTTGATCTATGGAAACGTGGTGTGAAAAAAGTTGAAATTTGCAAAGCCGTGAAGGGACAGCTTCATAATTCCAACATCTACAGACTCTTAAAAGACTTAGAAACTGGAAAAAATTACAAAAGAAAAAAAACAGGCCCAAATAGTTATGTGAGAACTAAAGAACTTCGAAATTCGATCGACTGCAAAGTACGACGAAACCCAAACAGGTCAATTTCATCCTTAGCTAGAGAAGCAGGTGTGTCTCGAAGGACTATGCAATGTGTTGTCCACAATGATCTGGGTATGAAGAGCCTTGTCAAGTCAAAAAGACAATTTCTGAGTGAGGCAACTAGAGCCAAA